ATTTTACTGTAAAGATGCAGCAAGATCATATTGGGATCAACAACATATCAGAACCTTCCTGCTGAGATCAACCCTGGGATATCTGGCATGGAGTGAATGTGGATTTCCATGGAGTGGTATTACATCTCAGAGAAGTTCCTCTGAAACTTGTGAAGACAGATAATGGGGTAAGTAAGGCAATAAAGTCTAAAAACATTTCTGCCTTTGCTCAAATACCCCTTAAATCTACCTTTGTCTAGACAGGGAAGTTAGCAAAGGACAGCTGATATGTGCAGTGGTGACAGGAACAGGACAGAGCAGTCAGAGCAATGTTGGATAGAGAGCAGGCAGAACAATCAGATAGGTGGCAAGCTAAAAGGATACCAATATTGACAAAAAAGGTAGCTAGAACAAGACAGATCACAGAGAAGAGGCAAAGTCCTAGATGACTTGTCTAGTATGGTAACAAACTGCATTCATGGGTAGAACTTGCAGGGAACTTGAACTTGAAAAGGGAAAACCAGGAATAAAACTATCAGTTCAACAAGCACCATGTGTGTGTCTTGTGGATAGGACATGCATGCTTTAATGGGGAAAAAATTATATCTTAGAACAGCTATGAATGATAGAACTTTATGGTGCTGTAACCTGTAGCAAACTATTTACTTTATCATGAAAGTAAAGACCTTGTCTGACAAATAGATTGCCATATTTTAGTATCAGGCTATCAAGCTATATAAGAAGAATGGGATGACAAAATCTCTTGATAAGAAAGCTCAGATGATACAAAGAAAGAAGGAAATGTGTCATTAAAATATGAGCAATGGATTTGGATCTAGTTTTCTATGGTTCTTTAGAATCCATTTCAGTACCTCTCCTACAAATGTTTAAAGTTAGCCATCTTTTACATATAACTACCATATTAATTGCCAGCCTTGATATAATAAATTAAGTTGTGGTCTCTACATAAATACCCCATTGCTTGCCAAGGGAAGTGAATGTGGCAGCTCTGCAAAAAAAAAAAAAAGCCAAAAACTTAAAAATTGCCAAAACAGAAGCCAAAATATCTGCAATAAAACCCCATTTTCCTGATTTTTTTACATTGTGGGAATATGCTTTCTACAGCTCTTCAGGAGGAAAACCATGTTATCTCTGCTGATACTCCTTTTGGCACTGTGTGGGTATCAAAACCTCATTGTACAACCAGCCAAGGTTGTAAAATTTTTTTAACCTCATATGAGACTGGACAAGGTTTGTCTTAATAAGTCTACATCATATTTAGAAAGCTGAGAAACTGGAGAACTGATGTAACATCACTGTGGAGGGCTGTGTGTTTTATCTAAAAGAAGGAAACATCCCATAATTCAGCCATGATTCACTATCTTCCTATTTATTGTGCGTGAAATACAATTGCCCTTTTACATTTCTGCTAACTTTGGAAAAATACTTATCTTCTAGAGACACAGCTGGCTTTCTGTTTATTTGATCTTCACACTCAAATGGCCATGTTCTGTTTATCCCACACTTAGAGATCAGAAGGTTGGATAAGACCATTGGGGTCATTTCAGTTGCACTATAATTACAAGATGATCCTCTCAACACACCTCTTAAATGTTTTATCTGGTCTACTTTGAACGTGACTTTGTTGATCCATCTGTGACTTCTTTTGAAGTGCTACTCTACTGCCTAATGGACTTTATGGGTACATTTCTTTTTATCAGAAATATAAAATTTACATTTTCATATTATAGTTCATTGCTCTTTAATCACCTTAAAAACACCTTTCCCCTTACAATATTTCCTCCCAATAGCAAGAAACTAAGTGTATGCTGCATGTCAGTGTAGTGTTGAATAACAAGAATTAAATCAACTGCAACAAAATAAAATGCACTTTCATTTTTCCCTTTCTCTTTTTTATCTAGGTAAACACAAAAAACCTAATAAGATTTTTCTAGTCCTACACAATTCAGGAGAATTTTGGCCTCAAATGATCTCATATGGACAAACTTATAAAATATTTTTAGTTAACCCATAATAATTGCAGGTGTAAATAGCCTTGTTGTTACCCTGAAAATATTAGGAAACAAGTGGTCTGACTAGTGTAAAATCAAGAAGCATATAATTGTGTGTATATAGATGTATGAATATATAGTGTGTGTTGATACACACACATATGCACACATCTTACACATCTACATCTATGTGTTGGGTTTTTTCATTCCTTATGCTTCCAGAATATCCCTTAGGCCCTTAGCTGGAAATTAGTTAAAATATTTATGGATCACTTTATGCTCAATATCTGCAAATTACTTTTTAGCAATCTGAATTAGCAAATAGGTTTCTATTTCTGGTAAAATTAATGGTGCAATCTCACATTTCTTGTGCATCCGGAATTTTCATTGAGATCAAATAGATACCACTATAGGAAAAAAAATTAGCACTGAGACTGACAAGATACAGTTAAATTGTTTCGTTTATGCATATTTCCCTTAAAGTGTTTGAAATATTGAGTCTTATTTTTTATTGAGTTCTAACTGAGATTAGAACATCTTTAACGATGTTTGTATTATTTTGCAGTGAGATGGAATTTTAATTCACCCTTATCCTAACAAATGAGGGAACTTTTTACTGAAGCCCAGCACCCTTTACACAGTAAAGCATCTTCAGTCTGAACTCTTCCTACTCCTTCTATTTCTCAGAAATGGCAGCTCTTTTTCAAACTTGTCTTTATGGGTTTTTTTTCTAAAAGAAACCTGTAGTCTGTCCTTCTCCCTTCACTATTTTGCAGGAATACATTCTGTTTCTAAATGGCCACTTGAAATATTTACTGTGGTGGGAGGTGACTTCAGATTTGGAAGAAGGAAAAGAGAGCAGATGATTTCCCTCTCTTTTCATGTGGAAGAGTCTCATAAAAAAAGCAAAAGAGTTGACAGGTCTATTTGGTGTCTCATTTCAAGGCAGTCACATACAGAATGAAATAATTACTTGCTCAGCTGTTCAAAATATATTTGTGCTGCTACTAATTAAAATTACTTTGGACTTTTAGGAGCGTAGTGCTGTAGAGCACCTTGGCAACAACTCTTCAGGCCACGGCTGCATGCATTTTTCTATCGTCCTTGAAAAATAAAAGGCATTCTGCTCTCAAAAATCCAAACGATCAAGAAAACACAATTCCTTGTGTCATGTCATTATAAAAATATTTTCTTCATAGCTATGTAATACTCTTTAAGATATTCTCTACACTCTCTACATCACCTGCCTGTTTTTAGCTTAGAGCCATACTACACAAATCCACAAGTGCTTCAATCAGCAAAATTGAGGACTTTACAAATTGTTAGTAAGTGTAAATGTACAAATTTTCTATAACACATAGCGAAAGATTTTAAAGAAACTGTCCAGGCTGCCACTGAAGTCATAGGCACAATTTTGCTATTTTAAACTATCCTGCTGTTTACTTTAGAAACCATAGTCTCTAAGCCAGAGATGGAGTGTATTATACCAAAATTCTGTTGCTGTCTAATTTAGAAAGTATTTAAATTGTGTAAAGTAAATATGTTATTTCTCTAGGTACTGGTGTGTTTATATTGCATATACATAGAGATACACAAAAAAGGCAGTGTTGGATCTATATTTATAATATAGATGACATCATCTGTGTGCTTAAGAGACCCTGCATTTGTGTGGAATATAGCAGAGTTGTAAGCTTTGCTGAGTATCTCATTGAATTGAAATAAATAGCTTAGGCTCTTCAGATTCCATTTTTATGCTCAACAAACTGTCACCAAGGAAGTAGCTTTGCACAGTTTATGACATTTTCAAGAGATTTGCAGTTGTGCCCTGAATGCATTCAATTATACTTAGTATCAACCTTCAGAATCACTTTTTACCATTACCCGGAAAACTTTAGCACAGAGGAAAGTGCATTGTTCAGAGATAGTATGCTAATGTCATCTATTTGAACATCTGACATATTGAAACAGGCCACTCTCTATGGAAGAAAAAATGCATCGAGTTTATATGAAATATCAGAGGCCCTTTTCCCCCAGTTTGCCCAGCCCAGCAGTTAAGCTGTAGTGACAGGAGGCTGACAGAGACAGGCTGAGCCTGGGAAATCTCAGCTGCTGTGAAGCTGTGTAGTGAAGAGAAGCATTACTTGATTTTTCTTTTTAATTTCAAATCATCTCTACTCCTTGAATGCCATCCTATGATTGTTAAATTAAAAAGTATTTCAAAAAGATCATGTGTAATTCAAAGATAAGGCCCAATTGCTACATGTTTCTGGAAACACAGAGTGATGTGTCAGTAATGAGTCTCTAACAAAACAAAATAAAATTAAAGACTGTCTGCAGAAGTGCACTCTTACATAGACATAAGGATGTGCCTAATTAAAGAAGCTGAATCATGATCATCAGGGTAATGTAAATACTAATAAAGTTAATAGCTTAGCTTCGTCTAAATTGGACTGTTCTGGAAAATAACCACTAATTGGTATTGATAGGAAATGATGAAATCATGTAATTTTTGCTGACAGGACTATACCCAGCACACAGAAACAGCTTCACTCCAATGCTAGACAAAAGATTTCTGCTGAACTGCAAATAAGCACAAAGCATCAATGGTGCCTTTTGCTAAGTGCTAAGCATCAGCAATACAGCTTCAATCAGAGAAAAGTTGGAGTTTTGGCAAGTGTAGCAAAGCACTGTAAGTGTTGGCAGGGTTTGGAGGCCCAGGTCAGCTGGCTGGGGCTGCAGGAACAGACGCGTGGGGGTTTCTTGCTGGATCAGCTCTCCTCAGGCAGCCTGAGCCGGGGGAGCCAACCTGAATATCCCTGCTTCTGGGAGATTTCCCTCCTTGGGAAAGTTAGCACTTTGTTGAAGTCTTTACAAGTCTTTGAGTGATAAAGTTCTGGAATAGTCTGCCCAGGCGGGTGCTGGAGTCACCATCCCTGGATGTGTTTAAAAAAAGACTGGATGTGGCACTCAGTGCCAAGGTTTAGTTGAGGTGTTGGGGCATGGGTTGGACTCAATGATCTTGAAGGTCTTGAAGGTCTCTTCCAACCTAGTAATTCTGTGATTCTGTGAAATCTGTGAACCCTGCAAAGCTTCCACTTTCTTGTTAAATCTAAGACAATAAAATTCTGCAAGGCCAGTGATGGCTGTGCAAGCAATACAGAAACCCATTAACTAAGTCAAATGATCTGATAATATCTGTTCTCTAACACTTTTCTCTTATTGAGCACTGAAGTAAAGGTTCTAACATCAGCCTGTTACTTTCCCTCATAAAATGGAATATGCTCTTCTGTAGTGTGAGAAATTATATTAAAATCAGATCACTAAAAAACTCAGTTTCTAATATTAAAAACTACTTTGTCAGTTTGTTGTATGTATTACACTTTAGATTTATGCAGTGATAGAACCTTTCTGCATTATGGTGTACCCGAAAATATAAAGATAAAAGTTCAATGGTTTCATTGCAGACTTTAATAGCACCTTAAGAAATGTGTGTATATTTTAATTTCTGTGTCATTGGCTTTTATAGGTGTCTGAAAATTCTATTACAATTATACAGAATGACTCTTTTAAGCAGTGCACCTAATTTGATGCCTTTTAGTCACTGATAGAGCCTAAACATTTAAACTGACATTCTGATTTCTACAGCTCCAGCTGCTAATTTTGACTCAATGAATATGTGCCTGCTGCAGGTCGCCATCACTCCTACAGATGGATACCATTAAAATGCTGTTTCTGTGAAATGAGAACAAGATATACAAGACAGGTGATCTTTTGATTTAGCTCTCAGAACAAGATCTTTGCTGATGACAGAGCAGATGGTCAGCTTTGCTGAACAGGAGAATTAAAATAACTAGATATATTTTGGCAGATGTTCACTACAGTCATGCATAGATAAATTTAATTCTCATGTTTTGTCTCAGTCAGGTTCTAGGTGTAAAGGATGTTCAGTACATCATGTATAGTGTGTTCTGAAACCTGAACCATCACAACACTACATTTTCTGGTACCACTACAGTGAAAGAATTATTTATTTTGCTTTTATCCATCAGAAGACATAAAGATTGTTAAAATCCTTATTTATTTTCTTATGTTTTCTTTCTGCTTTCTTACAGAGGGAAAGTTTCTTACCAGGCAGATATAGTTTTTAGAATAGGCTATTAATCTTTGGAGTAAAACCAGGAACAATGTAGCACAAATCTTCCAGCAAGGAAACACCTGGATGTCAGTAAGTATTATAACTCAGTCCTGAAACTCATACATAAATACAGATCCTCTTTTTTGTGTTTAGGATATTTCCATTAGCAGGCTACGCACTTTGAGAATTTCCAGGCTGAAGATATTACTTCCACAACCCATCTATCTTGATTAGTGATCAGGAAAGTTAAAACAGAATACTTCATCAACATGTAAAGCTTTGATAAGCTTGAATAGGGAAAAACTTTGTCAGGAATCCTTGGTTTATCAAAAAAAGTTATTTGCCAATAAATTACCTCCCTAATAATGTGGTGTCCCTGGGCTTTACCTCCTAACCAGAAAATTCTTCTTCATAAACTCAGTGTCCTGAAAGAAAAAGATGGAGTTCATTAGTTCATGTACACTATACAGTGTTTCACATTGATGAGATTTTCAAAGTTAGTAACTGTTTAGTAACTGGCAGACATCTACAGAAACTTAAATCCAGAATATTGAAAAATACTGATTTCATAGCAGGTAGAACAATTCCAAGATGAATGTGAAAGAGCAAAGACACAGGGAAACCATTGCTCATTTACAGGGCCTTGCTTCACATATGGAAAGCCCTGGCTCCGGGTGTGTGTCGGGTAATACTTTCTCAGGGTCACCAAAATATTGATAACAAGAATATAAGAAATTCTGATATAAGATTTGCTATTTGAACAGAAAATAAGGAGCTTGAAAATATTCTTAAGAGAGAGAAAAATGTCTTGCCTATCTGTTAATCCACAGCAGAGGTCACAGCCTCTTTCCTTCAGTGGGAGCATGTAACATCAGCACACGTCAAGAGTCCAGACACTTGCTGAAGGATATGTGCCTGGAAAAAACTAATTTCAAAAGTGGGCAATAATTTATAAGACAACCTTTATAATCAGGTGTCTCACAATGACCCTACTCCTTTCCTTTCAGTGGAAGAAGATAAAATTGAGTTGTTAAAGGACTGATGAATATTCAGATATATTATGACATTCAGATATAGACTTTTTTTCTTTCTGTGAATCTTTTATAACTGGGACAATACTTATTCTATTGCATGTGCTACAGCATTTCAGGAATTCTTGCCAATAAATAAAGATCAAAAAGTTGCAAAAAGAAACAAAATTGTAAAACTTGTACCACAAGATGGCAATCCTGTTTAAAATATCAAGCTTACTCAACTTAAACAATAGTGTTATGAACATTCATAGCAGAGTACGCACACCACTTGTTTGCAACACTGTGAGATTGATATTTTCAAGGAAGACAATCACAAGTTAGTGATATCCACAGGGTTTGCTTTAATTTTCCTTTTAAGAAGTACTGTAGAACATGTTCTTGTTCCATATTGTGGCTCAGACTCTAGTGGGACAATGTAACTGGATTTCAACAAAAAACATGTAGAGATAAGAATGAACATATTGCAATCAATTAACGTATTGTGCACTTGCTTTCTCTTTCATGTCCTCACTTTTTGGAGAAGAGAGATTTGAGGCCATTAAATACTTTCTGGCAGCTATTCTTGTTGATTAGCTATCATGTTAATAATTACAGCCACTTTCAGGCAGCAGAGAGAGCCATGGCATTGCTTCATCAATATAAGATGTGCTGCATGCAAAAGGTGTCATCCAGGGCAAACAGATAAAATGATCCTGTATACTCAAGGGTAAATATCATATTCCCTTTTGTGAAGCAATACCTGATTGTGTTATTAAATAGTTATTGCTGCTGTCTCTTTTAACAAAACAGCTGTAGCACAGTGTTTCTGCAGCAGCAGCTCAAAGACAGGTGGGGAGCTCCCAACATGGGAATGAGAGCTGGGTGGTGTCACAGCCAGGCAAAGGAGCACATGGGCTCAAACACACACATGCAAGCTTTCACAGAGCTGAAAGGAATGGTGGAGAGCTGTAAAGAAATTCTATTCCAGGGACACACATAATGATACAAACCCAGAAAATCTAGTCTTGCCTCTCCACTAGCAGCCAGAGGAGGCCTGGACACCCGCATGCCTCCAGAATCATGAGGGAAATCACTCTCAGCAGGTCAGCCCTTGCTGCTTTAGTCTGTGTCAGGCAGCACTGCTGGGAGCTGGCAGTTGCAGCTGCAGAGCTGCTGATTTGCCACACTAATGATTTGTCATGGTGTAGTAAGAACTTGTTAGTCTGCCCATTGCCATGACAGGCCAACATTTCTATTTCTGTTTGCAGTGGCAGATGTAAATAACTACATAAATCACTAGTGCAGAGCCTAATTCAAGGCATGTTCTTCAGCAATGTGAACACAGTGCCCAGTAGCGGTCGATGAAGAGGAATGCTCTTATATTTAACTGCAGGGTGTATCTTTTTTCCTTGATGTATACTGTAGCATGTAACTCCCATTAACTTTAAAAGGTTACAGACTCTAGGAACATCAAAGTAGAACATACCCTGAGGAAAAAAAAAGTCTGTCCTCTGGATGTTCACACACAGCTGCTATTGACATTAATTTAAGGGTGCAGTTCTTAGCCCTAAGTATACCCCTTTCTACTGAATATGGAACTGAACTCAATTCTCATGGAAAAGTTTTACAAAATTTCCAGAAAATAACAACTCTTAAGAATATGTTTTAAACCAAACTATTTAGAACCAAAACTTTATTAGATAATGAGATATTTACTGCATTGCACAAAACTTGTTTCAAAATAAGCAACAGCAAGTATCTCACCCTGCTTTATTTGTAGGTCTTACCTGTCTCATATCTTGAACTGCAAAGGCTCACTCTTGCAGATAGAATTCTTTTCAAGGAGATGATGATTTAGTGCTAGGTGAACCCAACTTTTCCATTCATTTCTTGCCTGAACATCCAAGCATTGTAGACACACAGCTGAGGCATGATTTTTTAACCTAGATTTTGCTGCATAATTATCATCAATAGCCATCAATATCTACTCTTTATGGAAGCAAAAACTTCACATTGATCTCAGTGCAACCTCTCTGTCATAATTCAAGTTTTCCTAAGAAAAATTAATATTTCTCCACACAAAATTGAATTTTCTTCTAAACCTCCAGTATTTAGATGTTTGAGTGTCCCATGGGGGAGGCTCTGCCTTTAGAGGTGATTGGACAAAGACCTCTCTTACCCACCTTCCAACTCAAATTCTCAGCTTGTATGGAGTGAAATAGGGGTGAAGGATATGTGTGCAGCAGGCTGAGAACCTACAGTTTTTGTACATTCCCAAGTGTGTGGGGTGCTGGTCCTTAAAAAGAATCTGCCGTAATTTACCATAACAAGCCAAACCTACTACAGGTCAGGATGCCAAAGGGTTCTCTGAAGCAGTGGAGATCTGGAAGATCAGAACAGGAAAGGATTTAGCTGAACGTCTAGTATTTTCCTGTGCAAACATGGAAACACAGTGTGGGCCAGACTGTGCATTCATAGATGTATCTTCAAAGCAGTACGAGACACACACACACACACACAAAAGAATCCTAATTGATATTGCTAATTATTTTATTCATGCTGCACTGTGACATCACTTACCTCTCCTAAAACTCAGAATCTCTTTGCTGCATATTTTGTAGCATGACAGTGTGGAAGAAAACATAAATAAATAATGAAGTGACCTGTAGGCTAATACACTCCCTGGTTCAAAAGTATTTTCAAGTATATATTTTTAGATGACATGCCATTAAAATAAAAAATTAATAAACAGAAGCAAAAGAAATGCATCATATTTCATTTCAAATTAAATACATCTAGGTAACTTGTCACTTTGCCACACCTTATCAGAGGATGACACAAGGAACAGGCTCCAGGACCAAAGGACAACAGCTGTGCTATAAGTCACCTTGAATTTGAGCACTGCTCTGCTGTGCCAGAGCATGAGCCCCACATATTCTGTCTAATATTCTGTCCTTGAAAATGACCAGCATCTATAGAAAGTGTAAGAAAAGGATGTAAGGGATTATGGGATAGCTTCTTTAGATGTGAGGAATTGCTCAATTAAATAAAATAAAGCACAAAGCACCAAGGTTTATAGCCTTTACACTTCTTTATTCTATCTTAAATATTACCAGATCATTCCTTCACAATTTTTTCAGGTTAAAGAATCCTTACTACAGCAAAAAATATTTTACTACCATTTTTTATTTGCTATTAAAGAGTAATAATGCTGCCACAGAGGCAAGAAACACAGGTTTTATTTCTGTGTTTGAAAGGTGGCAAAAAGCACTTGCCAACAGAAGACACTGGCAGAAAATTAGAATAATGCTATGGGCACAAGACAGATCTAGAGTTACAGAAGGTGACACAGACTAGGTATGGAAGGAGGCATTTAGCAAGCAGCAGCTTCTCCTTGTGAGCTAGCACTGGAAGGGGACTTGGTTACCTTCTGTGTTTTGCCTGCAGGTGCTGTATGAAGGAAATTCATAGAGGAAAGCCCCACTATGCTATCATATCTTTATCTTTACCCTGCAGTGACTTCCTACATAGACCAGCTCTACCAGGTGAAAACCAATACTGTTATGACACTGAAAGTTTGTGGAGACAACCATCAGCAAGAAGCACCTGAACTGCTCACAGTGAGTGGTGCACAGCTGAAATACTGTCTGCTAAAGGAGGGCTTCTGGCCATGTTTCTGTGGTCTTTACCCCAGTCATTTTAGCAAAACCTGGCTGAATCTCATCTACATCTCTAGATCTCTTTGTACATGTTTTTTACATCTTTTCTATGAGACTGCAAAATCTCTGCAAGGCTTTATATTCTTTCCCCTGGTAATTGAATCTATTTTTTGTTTTTGGAAAGTGACGGAATTTTTGACGGAATCTTTTGCTTTCCTAGCAAAAGAAAGACAACACTATCTACAAGTCAAATGTATTTGCTTTAAATTTGTTGTCAATCAAATATTTTGAATATCTCCCCAGCTTATCTCCTTCTACTCCAGTGTATTTAAAATCTTGTAACAGTTTTGGGTTTTTCCCTCCACAGAATCAGACTAACATAGAACTGCTAAAAAGAGGAAGAGTAATTGATAATGAGCAGGAAGACACAATAAATTTTTCAGCTACCTCTGGATAGCACATAAAGTCAGGAAACCAGTCATAGGAGAGATGAATTTTCAAAAACCAGAGACTTAAAAATAGTAAAACAGGTATTCTGCTAAAACTTTAACATCAGCATGCTTAATGATACCAGACATTGTTATATTTCCGTCATATCTATTAAAAAGCCCAAAGACAGTTATATGATAATTTCAACATTTTTGCATGAAAAGCAATCCAGAAAGCAAATATTCTGATTTTATAGAAGGAAATATACACTGTATATTTAGCTTCTCAACATGTTATTGCCATACTGACCAGAAGAGTAAAAGCCAAATGAGTGAGCAGATTTCCTGGCTCTTTGAACACCCAGTGCTTACACTGAACAGCCCTAAAAGATATGCCAGCTTCAGAAGTTTAATGCACATTTTCAAAATGCATAGTCTAGAGAACAATTCAAACAGAGCTCTCCAGGGGCTACTTTTGTGTTTATAAGTATTCAGCTGAATTTCTAAATTGGAAGAATAGAAGCTTACATTTAGCAGAAAGATTCTCAAGAGCATGAACATTTCTGAGCTCCATCTCAGTGATTTAGCTGGAAACTTTATAGAACTAGAGGAACCTGCTAGGATGGTTTTACTACCCAGCTTAATAGAATCAAAATTCCATCCCTTCATATTTACTCTAAGACAAATAGTTTTAAATATAATTAGCATGTTTAAAGCATCTAAGAGATTTAATATTAGAGTTCTCTTACTTTTCTTCCTTTAAAAGAAACATGTTCTATCCTTCTAGGAGAAAGTTTAAGTTGTAGAAATCCACTTTGATCACAGTACTGATTTGTTCCTGTCCTGTGAGAGATGAGCTCTCGAAGTTTTTTCTAGCTTTTGCTAGATTACAATCAATCTTAGAAAATGTTCATTAATAATATTTGTTTAAAAGAAAACTCATGTGGAAAAAGGCAGTCTATATGATAATAGAGAAGGTTATTTAATTTCCTTTTTTTTCTCCTAAGGCTTGACCTATTGGTTTATGAGTAGTGGAGAGGATATGGAGTGTTATTGTAGCACTGTTTCCTATTTAAAATATTTCATTGATTGAATGACAGTGCACTATCCCTGCATTTGTTTGTTTTCTCATGCATAGAAAGCATGAGAAAATGCTGCTTACATCATCAAAACAAACTCTCATGGAAATTTTATAAGCCAGCAAAGCACAGATGTTGAAGGCATATGTTAGATCACTATTATAGTTTATATGCTTAGGAAGACTTTTTCTGCTCAGGTCCTCAAAACTTTCTGTTAGAACTCAAAATGAGCAGGTGAAGCAAGTTACAAAGCATAGCTGCATAAATGTCCTTTCGTTCCCCAATAAGGCCTTCCCAACAAAAATGCAATTGAAATGCTTTATAATAATGAAAATGTAGATTATTTATAACACTTTCTTCTAGTTTTCTCTTTTATACTTTTATTTTAAAAGGCAAGGCCAAAGTGCAAATCACTAAAGTCAGTTTATGTTAAAACTCCCCATGTTAGATAAGGATGGAAGGGTCACTTGTTTTAAATATTCTGCAGCTTTTCACATTAAAAAAAATTAATTCTGTGAATGAGATTTTTGCTCTCTGTGCTATTTCATAGGTTAAAGAGACAATTTTAAAAAGAACATTTTGCTTTCCCATCTAGAATTGTTCTTGCATTATAGTTCCTATGGATTCAGGCAAACCTAGGCTATCCACTATCAGTTTAGGTGCCAAAACCTATCCACCAAATCTGTGGTTTTGCAACTATTATCCAGCAATCTGCAAACCATTGTTAAAAGCTCATGGTAGCTTGAATTTAGGGACAACAATATTTTATTTTCAGATGTGTAAGTCTTTAAGGATCTGATGTCTGATTTACACTTTGACACATATTTTCATCACACCACTAGTCCATGAAAAGTCTCTGAGTCACTTTTTCAGCCAGGGGTCTTTCTGGGACACAGCCAAAACACACTGCAATCCCTCATTGTTACTATGCAACTGCCACCACCAATAGACTTGGGATAAAATCTCATAAAGGATTTTTTTTCAGCCAACATTTCAGGAACCTTAGAGCCTTTATAAAATTTAATCAAGCATTTTATTTCACAAGGTGCCATAAAAAGCAAAGCGGCACAATAATGAAGCCCAAGTGCATTACCACTTCCTCTCAGCTTGAGAATGCTTTAAAGAAATTCCAGTGATGAGGCTTCAAATATCTGAATAGAAACATCACTTACATATAAAGATGGGAAAGCCCCAGCAGTCCCTCTGTGCACACAGGCACACACTCACTGCATGAAGCAAGACACTCGCCCCACTGAACAATGATTGGATTGTCCTTCCTGCCTCTCACCGACACAGAATCCAGAATTTGTCTTTCTGCCTGGCAAAGGCAGCTGTGCACACCAACAGCTACAACATGCAGGGTGGGGCAACGTTTCCTCTCACCAGAGCCTTGACAGGACAGATAAAAAGGTCTTGAGACACTGACTAAGCCTGTGAATTAGATGTGAGTCTAGCAAAGTTTAGTCTGGGCTCTAGGAAGCATTTCTTTCCTAAGAGGTTGGTCAGGCACTGGAACAGGATTAATTGCAGTTTTGTAGTTTTAGGTAATTCCAGACAAGAAAAATTTAAGGGATACATTCTAATCAATTCTAATCAATGAAAGGCATGATTTGTCTACTTAGCCATTTTCATTCAGCACAGTGACAAATATATTCATCATATGTATCATACTTACTAAAAATCATTCACATATTTTAGTCAATAATACCATATAACTGATACATGTGAACATCGCAATATTTATTCCAGGTGATTTATCATCAAAATAAGCTTGAATCTTATAACTGTTTACTGAGACTTGATTCTTGACTCTAAAGCAACACAAGGGCACATGAATATTTGCCTGAAATTTTGATGGGCTGAAGTACATCAGTATTGTTCGATTTAAGTATCTTAAAATCAATTGTGGATAGAATAACCATACTAATCCATCTCTAATTTGCTTCTAATTATGTCTCATACATCAATCATCATTCAAGTTGCACTTTGAGGCAGTAGAAATACTATGGAATTCACATGTCCCTTGATGTGCCTATTTCTGCTAAAAAGCTATACTAAATTCTGTTTGAAAATAGTTGATAAGAGTTGCACACCAAATCAATATAATAATTTCACAGTGGCCACTCTGAAGTTGTGTTCAAAAACAGGCCACTCTGAGGTTATGTTCAAAAATGCTCTGTTTATATATATTTATGCATAGAACATTTGCAGCAGAGAAACTGTGGAAGTACTGGTTCCTTTCGAGACAAGATAAAAATCAATATTTCATTAAGTTTTTGACTCTCTATATATATATATTTCTGTTTTCATAGGAAAACAACCATCTTAAAACAAACAAGGAAGAAAGAGCCATTGGGGGATATCATTAAATTAAATAATCAACACTTAATCTAGTATTTCTGATTTTCCAGCTGTGAAGCACTCCAAACTGAAAAAGACATGTAGTCTTCAAAAGGAAGGAAGGAAGGAAGCAAGGAATAAAATTAATAGATAAATACAGCTAAAAATGAATTTCCTATGTTAAGAAGTTGAATGTTTTAAACCAGCTTGAAAAGGCTGATCAAAAATATCTACAATGGAGAAATGCTTTCTTTTTAAATACAGCCCACTTGAAAGAGACAGTGAGGACTGAAAGACAAAGGGTAAGAAGCTTCAGATTTATTAAATTTAATGTTTTGCTCCTGAATTTCTTGATTAGAAGTAAAAATGAAATGCAACAGGGACCATATTTATTCGTGGGATAAAGCCAAAATTTGAGAATGTTTCTGGCACAAGTACACATCTGAATTTTAGTTATAATATGTAAGAAGAGACTGACAAGGAATTTTGCCTTGCAGAGAATTGAATTTGCATGGATTATATTTCAAAATACATGAATAAAAAATTCTTATGATGGTTAAACTGTATTTAACATGCTTTTCTCAATTCTTCTTTCTCAAGGTCATTTACACTCACTCATATACATACATGTACATTTTGTTGCTTAAAGCTAATTTACTTTTGTTGATTATTCAGCAGTGGAAGTCATACACTTCTCCCAGTAGCATCATTACAATGAATTAATAGCACTGTTCACTGTTATTTTTATTGGAAAAAATGACTTTCAACTATTATGCCTCAGCAGGAGCAATCATACAATATCTTAGGTTATCTTATTCATGCCACATCTTAAAAATAACTTGAGTGCCAACCTTAATTGGATGAATATTGTAGGATATGTTAAGAGAACATAATGAAACACTTTATTTTTTTAGACATTTCCCAATATGGGTTTAATTAAACTCCCTTTTTGTTGTTAACTCTGATCAAGTTTTATGAATCAATCTTGAAGAAAACTAAAGAGGAGACATTTTGTGTCCCGGAGGCCCAATTCTGCATTTATTATTTGTGACACTTCTATGGTATTCTACCAGAAATTTTAGTGTGTACAGCAAAGAAAAGATAAAGATAAATCAATTTACCTATAACAAAAACTGAGAATATATTGATTACTGGAGCACAGAGCGAGGCTAAGTGCAGGAATGGGTGAGCCAGACACCTGCTGTCACCACCACAGGCTTCCAGGAGCTCTCCCTGCCTGTGTCCCAGCTGCAGGGAAGGACAGAGCCCTGCTCAGCCTGGGTGCCATGGCCTGCCTGCCGTGGGCTGTGCCAGCGGGCAGGAGCTGCTGCATGCCATGGCATTGCCCTCAAGGGTCAGGCTGGCTTATCCTTGGCTTCCATCAAATCCTGCCCAAAGGACTGAAAGAAATGATTAGGAGGAAGGTCATGCTATAAAAGAAGTCACAACAGCCCTTCCACCCGTGGCAACTGAAGGGTGTGTGAGTTTGATTCTATCCTCTGCATGAAACAGAATTTGCCCAGGTGACTCCTTGCCCGTTAGAGGAAATGGCTCCTCTCTTGCTGGCTCCTGTAGCAATGTATTCTCAGTTTGTTGCCTGTCTCAACAGTAATCATGACAAAAGCCAGACAAAGGCAATCAACAACAGGAACAAAGCAAAACAAGACAGCTTTCCTTTTCAGCAAAATAAAAACACAGATTGTTTTTCAGTTTACTCTTGGGCTCTTCTTTTTAAAAGTGATCATAAGTTAAAAGACAGTGGAAAATAGCCCACAAATCCAATAAAATTTAGAATACGCAGCTACCAGCAATACCAGGGGATTTCCAACCAATATATTAGCCAACAAATCAATAACAAGAGTAAATCCTTCTGCATTGAGGGCAATCAAATGCTCACTAACAGGTACTATCACCTATATTAATATAATCCCCCAAGTGTCAAAGTTAATACCAAAGGAAGCTTATGCTTCACATGTGATAAGCTGAAGGATATTTCTTAATAATGGTTTAAATAAAAGGAAATTGCATGGACATTTTGCATTAAATGATCCTGAACTGAGTTGGCTCTGCTGAAATTTCTTCTTTCTGGAGATTCCATGTTTGCTTATCCCAGAGAACATCCTGGTCCATCAGGACTTATGCTAAGCTTGAAATGAATTCACAATGCTTTTAATCTAGAAACTTTCAAAAAGTTGCTTGCTTTCAAGAAGTTGAAAAATACATTTTTTTCCTAACCTGTGAATGTCAGGAAACACATTGTAGTGTTTATTTCAAGCGTAATTACTGCCTATGTAACATTCTAGTTACAATTTAGTACTGGTATGTCAACCAAAACTTTGCTTATCTTTATAATTAATAATTTCTCATCTGGACTGTGATTACATAATTATATAGTGGGAATTTATATATTTTAATCTGAAAGATCCTACTGGGGATACGGTGTGGTTTTGTTTTAGGGGAAGAGCTATTTGTTGGTTATTTACATCTGTGCACAGTCCAGCTCCAGAGTTCAGCCCATCTTTTTGTTTCTCCTGGTCATGTGATCTTCAGGATGTTCCTTTCTCCTAGGCTGTTCTTGTATGAAAATTCACATAACAAATAAATGATATAAAAGCAGATAAAGTAACCCTGAATAGTCCCTGCTGACTCAAATCAGTTGGAGGTAGGTAGGTGAATTTGCCTTGGCCTTATCTGATTAATATTTTCTAGCAGTTAAGGTGCTTGGAGGCCTTACCTTTTCAGAAGGAGCAGTGTTGCAGTTAAGCCATTTACTATCTTTCTGGAAATTCAGGTGCAGAGTTACTACAGGTCCTGGGAAAAAACACTTGATTTCTCCTTGTTTTACTGATCCATACTTAAAAAGATAAAATACATAATCTCCTCTGTTGCTTAGCAAAATGCACAATGCATTTTTGAACTGGGGTAAGATCTACAAGTTAATGGTAACAAGTGATATTCATCCTGTGTATTCCACATCAGCTGGTCCGAATTCAGAAGCCTACAAAAGAACATTCAGGATTTTGCAAAGGCATGTGCAAAGCTGGCTATGTGCAAACTGATTTAATAAGCTAAGTGACAGAAAGCACTGAAACATGAAACATTGCAGTTTGCCAGGAGAAGCAGCATTCTATGCCTAACTAGGTGTTATTGTTACAGTGGTAATGAGCAAGATCAGTAGTTTGTAATTAACGGAAGAGAATTTCAGATGCCAGACTGATGAGTCAGAAGTTCAGAGTAGGTGTTTAAAGGATATTTATGATATAAAGCAGTAACAAGCTGCCTTTCACAAAATTGTTCACACCTAAATAATGGCATCTAAAAATCGGTGCAGAGCAGATGTTTTTTGACTAAGCAATGCAAATTGAAAGGTGTTTCTCAGATACAGCCATGAAAAAAAACCTGCTCCTTTGCAGTAACACCTCTCTAGACAGAAAGAAATGAATCCTCATTGCAGAATACAAAACAAATAAGATGGGGTTTTACACATATATTGGTGAGGACGAGTAGTTTAAGAGAGAAAATCTGCTATTGAAGGAAGAAGACCAAAAAAAGATCATGCTGATTCTAAACTGAATGTACTTGGATGTGGATCTCTAGGAAGAGGAAGAGAGAAAGCAAAGTGGCTAATTAAGAAATGATGAACACTCTGCATTGGATTCCAAATGTCCTGAAAGCATACATCCATCAACATGTTTCAGATGAATACTTACACTGCTCTTCATATTGTCACAAGTCTGATGCCCAGGTGATTGATAAAGAGCTAGTAAAGAAATGCATGGAAAACCTTAATACAGGCCTATTAGCACTCCTGTGTGAAGTGCATTGTAGTGTTCATGCTAATTACTTTACATGATTAACCACAGAAATCTTTTTAGAGTATTTTATAGCCTGGTTCTGCAAGAGTTATCTATATGCCTCTATCCAAAAAATATGAGCAGTCTTCTTTGTATCGTGAGGATTCACATACTTAAACTTAGCCTTGTATTTTTTTTTTCTTTGTAGGTTAGGGCTTTTGCAGAACTAATGAAACACCAGATGGTTGGATGGCACTGAACTTTAGAAGATGAATAAAGAGTAATCGTGGAAATGATCATCTGGTAAACCACATTACATTCCCTAGGAAAATAACAGAAGTGAGGTTTTGGGGTTTTTTAAAGGAAAGTAAGCAGCTGACAGCAGAAACATGAGCAATAAACAGCAATGAGTGAAATTAAGGTCCCAGACATATGTGTTGGAGTACTGTGTGACTACAGTGGGGGGGGGGGGGGAGTCACAAATTTGTAACTCTGAGCAATTTTGGATCTTGTATCCATTATTGGTAGACAGCAGATGCAATACTTCAGAAATTGTACTTGAAAAATTAAACTCAGTTGGGTTAGAAATGAGCACTGTCCATGGATTTTAAATTGACTGACAAGCTATAAAAGAAGGGCAATGATAGATGGTGAGACATTGAGCTTAGGGAAAAAAATCCCAAGTAGCAATGCTAATATTTAAGCACAGAACAATTTGACTGATGGGAACACCTATAAGAATCATGTACTGCAGCTGAACATTGACCGAGGGTGGCATGGTAACTGTAACTCTGCTGGGACAGGAACTTCAGAGAGTGGGCTGAGAGAATAATGCAATACAGAAATTAGAAATAATGGGACATTACAAAAGCAGAAGAGAACAAAGGAAACTGTCCTGACTAGAAACCAGTTTTAATTAGGAGTAGTCTCCTGTAAGAAAAGTTGCTTGATTTAAGACTGGGTTTAAAAACTTTTGGATGCCAATAAACTTTGTGGACCAATTCCACTTATAGATGGGGAATCTGAGGCAGAGAAGCCTCATTTCCTGCTATGATATGACAGCACATTTACATTTACTGTCTGCTTTTTGTGCATATAGTATTAAATTTATCTCTATTCTAGAATTATTAGTCATTCATCTATTTACTCTCATTATGTTACAGCCATGTGAGCAAGTGAAGAAATTTAGCTTTGTGCAGTGCATCACCTATGTACTTCCATGTGGCCACCCACTGTTTTCTGTCTTCCTGTGGAAAAGCCAAGGCTGGCTGCAGTGCAAAGGAGCCATCTGTATCCACAAAGAAGCAGGATTAAATTCTGTAACGTAGATCAAGCAGAGAGTGAGTATGCATTGATTAGTCATGTGCACATGTCCTCCACACCCTCACTTCTATTTCTTATATTATTATGTTTTTGGCTTAAAACTATGAGTGCTCAAAGAAGAAACTCTTATTAGACCTTGCATAAAACACCAATGAACATTTTTGTGTTGCAAAGAACTACAGTAAGATAGCCTTGGTTTCTGATATTCCCATTCAGTGATCTGGCAGGGTCTTCATAGACTCAAGACTTTTCCCAACATGCAATGTAGCTGTGATTCAAGTTTACAAGTGCTGTCAGGTATCTGCTGAAACCGGGAGTCACAACAACTTTTACAATTTAAAAATCTGGGGTAAAAACTAATCAATAAACTGACTGAAGTTATTTCTAAGAAAGAAGAAAGAAAGAAAGGATAAGTACATAGCTGAAGATTTCACACTGTACATTAGTGAAAACTACATAGCAGCCTCTAGCCATTTTCTATCCCCAACTGCACTTCCTCAATTCTGCTAGATCATACTGGAACACTATTTATTGACTCCCACATTTTTCTATTCCAATAGAATAAGTAGTGTTAATTCAGATTTTAAAAAGAACAATAAGGCTACAGATACACCTCCCACTCTAATGCTAAATAGATGTTTTCTCTTACCATATTTCAAAAAGTGATTTCTGTGTCCAAGTAATCAAAAAAGTTATAGGAAGAACACAATGGATTTGAAAAATTATTTTAACCGGCCAAAAGTCAAATTCTTTTAATCTAGCATAAAAATTTATTATTTAAGCTTTTTTTCTCATTGCATGGCCATGCCCTGAGCATGTATCTGTTATTATTACAAACTGGTATTTTAGTTTTAGGAGGGGAGCAGTACTGCCAGGAAACTAATTTTTCAGGTTCTGAATCTAAATGCAAACAGTCCTAAATAACCTGCATGCCTGAAGACCCTGAAACTTTGCCTGCCTTTGGAAGGCTGACTATTTTTCTGGACAGAAATAACATTGTATTTCCCATTTTCCATGTATCCCTAAAACTTTCACAGCTTCACTATTTATAAAACAGAACATTTGGGTGATTTGCTCCCAAAATCATTATGAACATCAGCGACTACTGAAACACCTTTACTCACCAACAGTTTGCAGAATCAATGCAAACTTCTGAAGGCCTAATTAGATAATGGTCTTGGATCACCAAACTCAGCCCAATCTATCTCCAAGCACTCAGTTTTTTTACTCTGTTATTGCTTTGCCACTTGACTGGGCAGAATGTGGGCCAAGGTCAGATGATAATTTCTTGTCAGGGGAAGGTTGTTTGGGAGGGGATGTCCTCCTTCTCCAGGGCCCTCAATGCAGTGACACCTCCTGCAAGGCCAGAGGAGCCTGCCTGGGTTTCAAAACAGCCACAAAAAACTCTCATACCAAGCTCAGATTTCTCATCTGAGGTACACCATTGCAAAACAGTAGGGCAGTCCTTCTGCTGGCTGAGATGTGCCTGCACTGCACCCACAAACAAAATGTTTTTTCCTTGCAATTTCATTCATTTTAATGCATCTCTAATAGGCATTTTTCATTCGGTCCTCCAATTGTTCTATACTTGTTGTTGTGCTCACTCCTGCTTTTTAATGGATTTATTTCAGTCACTCAGAGGCTGCTGCTGTACATGAAGTCAGAAATGAGTTTTTCAAGAAGCCAGCCCCACACAGGTGACTGTGCTATGCACCTCAGTTTTTCAAGGAGCCTGTCTATAAACCTTCTGAATTGAGGATAACTTTTCCTGACAGCTCTGTCCTGTAGTGGAAATCAATCACTCGTCTTGTGAGTCTGCTTGGACATCTGGGATGCCCAAGACAGGGTCCTTGACCTATGTTTACAGGAACTGCCCTGAGACCAAGGCAGGTAGAGCAGCCAGCAGCATGCTGTGTACTGGATCCCAGCATGATGTGCAGTAATGACCTGTCAGGGAAGCAGCCTGTGTACCACCACACTGTGAAATATCCTGGGGGACTCTCTTGATGAATTTGGCATGCCCTAAGGCAAGAATGAAATCACACATCATTTAAATATTGTTTCATACTTTTCTTTTAGGGTGTCTCATCCCTTTCTTTGGTCTGTTCAAATATATATCTCTGAAAATTTGCAAAATAAAGAGAAAGCCCTGAAAAGCCCATTCCAACCTTCCCACAGAAGTGCTGTGTCTTGGAGGTTGCTGATTTTTTCACCCTTTTATCTCAACAGGTTTTTGAAAAGGCATACAGAAAGAATTTTTTTTCTGGCTAATATCTGATTACTTTAAACAAGAATTTATTACTTTGTATTATTGTCTTCAAAATGTGGCATCCATTTTCAAGGAGTATGTGTTGATGGGGAAGCAACTTGGAAACAGTCTTGGTGAAGAAAGGAAGTTTAATTTCATGCCCTCAGTGCAATAAGATGGTGCACAACACAAAACCAGTGAAATCTCCACTGGAGGTAACAATAAACCCTGAATCCTTTATTTGCCAATGCCTTTGTCTTCTGGTTTTAGTTTTTCTTTCAGCAAGGACAGTAGCTCTGCCATTTTAGTGCTCTTGCATCTTTTGTTCTTCCCCTGCAGTGTGATGTTTGTTCCTGGTACGGGGTGCCAAGGTTTTGTCTCCCAGGTTTGCTGATGCCTCTGCCAGCCCCACAGCCAGTGAGGCACAACCTGCAAAGGGCTGAAGGATCTGCCCTCCCCCTGCTTCATCCTGCACTCTTCTCCAGCTCTGGGGCCACAGGAATGCTGAGGGTTGCCAAGATTATATACTTTATCCAGGTCAAACAAGAAGGGGCAGATTTCCTTACTTATGATGAAACGTAGTAAATAAGAGTCTGCTATTGGAAACGGTTTGTGGTTACAATAGGAAGGGATTTCCATCTTCCGAACATCATTGTAATTTCTATAATTGCAAATTATTGTCCAGAAGAAACTTTTTCTTGTGTGGTGAGCCCCTGTTAAAAAGGGGGGCTTGTATATACTCAAAGAAGCATCATAAATAGCCTAAAAAACAACTGTGCATATGAAAGCCCCATAAATGACTCACAGAGACATGAGTCAGATGGAAAAAAAGACATTCTAGGTATCTGTAAAGGCCTGCATGCAGGGCTCAAAGTGGTGTTAATTTCCATGGACTATGGAATAGAAGTGTAGGCATGCACTTCATTTTCTCAGCAAGCTCTCACTGATAACAGCAATTCAGAAGCTTCATCTCTTGGAGCTATACATTGTCCCACTCACTTGAGAGCTAAAAACCAGCAGCACAGACAAGAGCTACCTCGACCAGAAAACTTGCACTCTTTTTCCCTTCATCATTACAGAGAATGCATCATTAAAAAGCAGAATTGCTTGTCCTTCTACTGAGAGCTGCAACAGAATGGTTACACAGGGAAACAATACTTAAGGGGAGAAAGTCAAACTACTTAATCAAAAAATACTGTGTCTCTCTTTCTTGAAATAGGCTTATGGATCAGGAATATATGGCTAGTCAAAATCAGTATTTCTTTTTTTTTAATAGCACAGCATAAAATCTACATGTCTTGTTGAAATATTTGGCGAGTCACTCCTGCCCTACAAGTGCATTATTACATTGTCTCATGTAAAGACAAACAGCTGCAGAGAGAGTTTAACCACACTTCACATACATCAAGCACAGCAGATGTAGCAGATTCCTTTTGGTTGCAGACATTCTTTCCTGTATCTGAATTGTCTCTTAGGTATATAAATGAAGATGGGATTATGTCTTTGCTGGAGCAGCAGGTGAATGAATCACAAAAAAGCCTCAGTCAGTCTGCAGATAAAACATGATCATTTTCCAGGCTCTGTGTTTAAATAAAGAGCTGCAGAGAAATGGCCTGATTTTAGAAAGTGGGGGAAAGAAAGGAACTGGTGGAGGAATGCCTTTTTTTTTTTTTTTTAATAGAGTCTTAATCTATTGATTGACTGCCTAATTTAACTTTTTATAAGTGCTCATCACTATTCTTGACTATTCACATAAGTAAGCAAAAGTGTGGTTGTGAAGGGGGTAAAGAGGACAGTTCTGTTCCATAATGTATTCAGCCAAGGTGCCCTTGTTCATGTATTATACACATGGGCATTTTTAATATGCAGGTTGCAGCTATTTAAAACCTTGCTAATGCTTCGTGGAAAAAACTGAATCAGTCTACTGAGATTTCACCTATACAGCATGTCTTTTTCCCCCTCACTATTTTATAACCAGAAGCTTTTTCACTAATGCTAAATCTTTTTCACTAAAGAGTTTGTCTGGTTTTGTTCTGAGATGCTTGGCTGAAGCTACAGCCCTCACTGATATCTCCTGGTGTTTGCTGTGATGACACTAACTGGTTCCTGTTTCCAGAGGGAGCCTCTAGCCTTTCTGAAAGTAGCAATAAAATCCTGCTCTCTCTCAGGTTGAGCAATGTAGTTGTTAAGGACTGTGGGTTTGTCTCATTCTAAACAGGATTTAAATCCTTCAGGTTTGTATTACTCTTGTATTCACTCAGAGTGCTTCTAAAATGAACACAGACATCAGAGGCTGACCTGCCCTTCACGGTATTCTTTAATCAGAAAGGAATTTCTTTTCTTGCTCTTTTAAGCCACATTGCATCCAATTTCTGAAAACAAGAGTATTCTGATCTGGACTGTTTGATAAACACATACGAATACTCTATTCAATTTATCTGAACCATTTTCAAGACAACAGATATTTCCTTATTGATTCTGCTTGGCAAGGTAATTAAAACATGTTCATATCAAAAAATTTCCCAACTCCTCAAGATTACTAATATTGTAATCCTTTTCAGGGAACTACTCACATGGCAAATGAAGACAATGGTTAATATTAAAGATATCACACAGCTGAAGAATAACACTCACATGTACTTCAATGGTTCTCATCGAGTTGCACAGACAAAATGTACCTCAGCTCTTAACTGCAAGAGCTCTGGCTCATCATCATATGAATTGTGCTGATATCAGAATTCTTTTGCCCCTCTGACTACATGTAGGTATTATAATACCCACAATAAACAAGATACCATGAGCTATCTTCAATTATAGGTCAGATAGTCACTGTTTGTTTGAAGAGTAGTGGTCTTCTGCTATTCCAAGTCGTACTCATCTCTCCTTGCCCTCTGCTTAAGTGTCCTAAAAATAAATGCATTCAAAGTTTCATGACCCTTGCCAGGCTTTTCCTTTTAGGACAGTAACTTGAATCCAGCCCAGGTCAGTAGAAAGAAGCTGGAATTATCCTCCCAAATAGACAGTTGTTTGTAGCAGCTTGGAAAAGGTGGTCACGGGGCTTGCTGGGCATCTCAGCAGTAAGTGAATTAAAGGGTGACTGAGTATTGTCATTCCCCTACCCTAGACAAGAGTTGTTTGTACTCCTGTTGCCAGTGAATAGAGATAGTTCTTAAAGAACCTGCTGTTTACATGAAAGCTCTGAATAACTCTACCATCTTAACACAGAGAAATGATTATATGTGCCAATATTCCATTTGATTGCTATAACTGAAATATTACCTATGGAAAAGCTAAGGCATTTCACTAGCCTGCAAGACTTTTTGAAGTTCTACAAGAAAATACTTTCCATAAATGTGTTCACGTACATATATATCAAACACCTCAGTGTAGTCCATCCTTATTGCAGTTTCATTGTTGCATTGCATTGGCTTGATTCTACAGAAGTGAAGGCTATGTAATATTTTTTTCTTTCAGCAGCAGTTAGGAATCATCCTCAGTTGACTTTTCCCTTGAGAATAATAAAATCTGAGGCAGTTATCTATTTTTTTACATTATTTGAATGAACTATGGATAGAGCTCATATGCTGACACAGGTAATACCCCACCTTAACATGCTTCAGCACCTCAACTCAGCCAGGTGTCCTTGGGCCTAGAAAAACTTGTTAATCACATGTTTAGATATTTCTAATAATGCACTTGAGCATAAAAACCGAATTCTGTTTTTATTCAAGGTAAACATGGTAAGTAATGAACTGTATTTTCAGTTCCAATGATTCTCAATGCTTGTTCTGTTTTTTTCCTGAGAAATGGTATAGGACTATAAGCAAAGCATATGGTCAGCCTTTTTGTTTCTGTCACAAAAAATTACTTTTGTTAATTATCAGTTTTCTTGGCAGCAAAATGTCCAGAAAGCTATTTTCAAGAGCTATCAGATTTTCACACTACATGCTTTTTAGACTAAACAGCACACATGGTCTGCCCAAAAAGTGGCCCTCCCACCCCACTCCTGCAAGTGCACATATTGTCACTGAGTTAAATGGCAGGGAGTGCAGCTGAATTAAATTGTAAACACCAGAAACATACATGACATAGAGATATGTGATAGCTACAATATGGAATAGAAAGCCAAGATGGAGGATCCCATTCATAATTTCATCACTTAATTCTCCCATGGATTTGAGGAAATAGCTGATCTATATGTTATCCGAGTCCTACAAGCTATAATCTGGGGATAATAGTAATATTCACATAAAATACTTTGAAATCTTCCTGATAAAATGCTAAGTAATGTAAATACCTTTAAAAAATTCTGATATTTTTTTTCCTTTTCACATATTTCGTGGAGCTTGGTGCATTCCTAAAATAGCAGCAAGTCAGCAGATGTAGCACAGCTTTCCAGAACAAGGGACCTACACATGCCACACATTTCAGGCAATAGAATGAACACTGGAGCATTTTTTGTGCAGAACCTGCTTTTAGGTCACTAAAATCAGGCACTGTCTCAACTGGCCTAAGGAAAGGCCTACTGGTGCCAGCTGAAGTTGTCCCATGTGCATTGATAAACTGGGCTGAGGTTTGGTTTAAAAGGCACAAGATGGCCTGGTCCTCTTCAAAGTAGCAGGAAAAGTCTGAAAAACTGTCTTGAAAAACAATCTGGAGAGAAGCAGCCAAGGCACAGCTTGCTGTACAGCCATGATTATCACTGTAATTGTAATATGTCATGCACAGAATTGTTAGTTTGGGGAAGAAATAGTAGAGTCTGTCTTCTAAAATACAGATTGTCCTCATCATGACAGCAGCAGCGAGCCTGTTATTAGCAGGCAAAAAAGATGGAAAGAGATGTTCCAGGTCAGCAAAATAATGTGCACTAAACCTTCTCACATCAGAGAAGATTCTCTTCAATCTTCTGAGTGACTTTGCTAAGAAATCAATTCCTACCACCCGTTGATCTGACAAGCCAACATCTTACACCAACCACAGAACTTTCAGAGGAGCAACTGCATGCTGTACTCCATCCTATGAAAGAAATTCTGAAGGAGCAGCTGCTGGAGGTTCCTCTTCAATCTCTTTTATTACAATGCACCAAAAGCAAGGGACTATCACAGTGCTGCTGCTTAGCATGCACAGTCATGTAGGCTCGAAGCACTCTTCTTATCTGTCTTGATATACATGTGTTATTTTTTGTCTTCTACCCAGATTGTAAGTTTTCTATGGCATTAACTAAATGGAAAAGGGAGACAACGGCCAT